TTTATAATATAGTATAGATATGTGTGTGTGTGTGTGTGTATATATATATATATATATATATATATATATATAGACTTGAGATCATATGAGACAAGATTATTTTTGGGAGACACGTGAGATACACTTTTTACACTTGAAGCTTCACAACAAAACACTTTGAGGTAACCTTCACAGTGTTTCTGCTGTGAAAGTTCGGTTTTTTTTACTTTCACAACATTTTATTGTGAAGTTTCAAGTATAAAAATCGCGTCTCACGAAAACAACTTTATCTTACGTGAACTCAACCCTATATATATATATATATATATATAATATATATATATATATATATATATATATATATGACTCGGGATCACGTGAGACCAATCTGTTTTCATGAGACCCGTGAGACCATCTTTTTATGCTTGAAACTTCACAGCAAAACACTGTGAAGGTAACATTCACAAAACACTATGAAGGTAAAAACAATCTGAACCTTCACAACAAAAAGATGGTGAAGGTTACCTTCACATTATTTTGCTGTAAAGTTTCAAGTGTAAAAAAGTGGTCTCACAGGCTCACGAAAATAACCTGGTCTCATGTGAACCCAACCCTATATAATTTATAACACCTTAGATTTTGTTACCGATTAATCTTGATATATTCATTTACATCAGAATTAGATGCTTTATCTGCTTGTACCCTTGCCTTACATAGTTTTATTTTGGGCTAATAATGTAAGTCCAAGTTTTATGTAAAAAGGTAATTATGTAGAAAATAAAGTGGTTTTAGGACTAATAATGTTAAGAAAAGTCCATGTAGGGACCAATATTGAATTAGGCAATTGATGAGGGTAATTTTTGATAAGTGAGAATTCTTGTATTAACAACTTAAACCCAATTTTCAGCCAGAAAGTCTGATTATGCTAATTACCTCTCTCTCTCTCTAGAATGAAAATTCTCTCTTCATCCAAACCTAGGGTTTGATTCATATCTCCTCATGCAACTAGGAAGATGATGATACCTTGAAAAATTGAAGCTAAGCAATTGAAGAAAATGATTAAGAACTTGAAGTATTTTGGTGATAGAATCTTGAAGAATTGCTATTTGTAGAAGACAATCCAAGGTATACTTTCTAAATTGTTTATTGATGTCAAAGTTGGGTTTGAATTATATTAGGATTCATACGGTTTTGATTAGTAAGTTAAACCTTTGTTAAATGGTGTTAGTTTCATGTTTTTGGTGGTTAAAGAAGTAGAGAATTAAGTTGTAAACATTTGTTTATGGTATGGAAATGATATATAGTTGATTTATTATAGTTTTAGTACCAAATATATACAAAAGAATCTGTTTTGAGTTGTGAAGAAGAAATACAATAGTTGCTGGTTGTTTAAAAATTCATATAAAATTGGTCGTTGATATGATTGAGGTGTGCAATATATAGTTGGAAAGGTTTCTGAGTCTACTACAACTTTGTATTATCTCCAGACCTGATTTTAGCTCCATGATGCTCAAAACAGTAAGTTTATATATCTGGTCCTGTGTAAAAACGGGATTTGCACACCGTTTTTAGATAAATCGGTCTTTGCTCCAAATGTGATGGATCCAAAAAGATTGGAACCCTAAGAAATAGGCCTACAACTTTTGTTTAGACATTAGCATCTGAATGTACTTCTAAGTTCTAACACTACTAGAAAACTGGGCATTTCCGGCGGATTTTCCGGCGGACAAATTCCGCCGGAATTTTTCCGGCGGATTACCGGCGGATTTCCGGCGGTGTTTTAAAAAGTCAACTTTTGTTGACTTCCGCCGGAAATCCGCCGGAATTACACCGGAAAAGTTAAACCGGTTATATTTCCGGCGGATTTTCGGCGGATTTCCGGCGGATTTATTAATTTTGGGTTAATTAATCTTTAAAAAGTAATTAATGTTTGGAAAAAAATTGGAAAAGATATCACCGGCGGATTACCGGCGGCAAATTTCCGCCGGAAAAGTATTAAAAATTCAAAAAAATAAATCCGCCGGAAAATCCGCCGGAAATATTTTAGGAAAAAAAATTAAATATCTTTTAAATATTACCGGCGGACTTATTCCGCCGGAAATTTAAAAAAAATTCAAAAAATTCAAATTTTTATAAA